TTGACTTTTTATGTATTTTTGCCTTGCCGCGAAGTGAGAACTGAATTAATTGAATGAGAAGTACTCAATCGTCTGTGAAAAACTGTTTCTTTCTTTTTTTGTTTTGTTTGCTTATTTCTTTTATACATCGTACTAGCTTTATTATAGTATTTGAATAGAACATGTGGCAACGATTAGTAATTCTTTAAATGATATAAATTTTGTGCATTCTGAGTTATAATATGAACGAAATATAATACTGTTAAGTGAACCTAGCGCCAGAGTGTCGCTATTGTAAACAAATAGAATGAATTTTAAAGAATGCATTTATTCTATTGTGGTTTATGGTGCTGTCGGCGAAGTAGATTTAATTCAATCCAATAAGTTTAAATGAAATGTAAGAAAAAATGCGTATAATTTAGTATTCCGTACAAGGAAGTCATGTGGTTTACACAGCAGATTTTTAATATTTGCTTTAATATTCCTCTTTTAATTATTAATTTATTATTCTTATTGAATATTCCTGGTCTGTAACGAAAATTTCGTATCACTTTAACCCAAAATTAATCACTCAGAAGACATTCAATTACGCAATATATTTAGTAATACATTTTTAAATGTTTCTTTTTACTTTTAGGAAAATAAATAATACTTTTAGGAAATTAAAATTGATTTACCTTAAAGTGCTTCATTAAAGTAAATAAATTTACTTTATTATTTATTAAAATTAATTATTATATTAAAATTAATGAATATATATTTATTATTTATCATTAAAGTAAATAAATTTTACTTAAATATGAAATAATACTTTAATTTTAATAAAATAATACTTGAATTTTAATAAAAATTTACTTTAATGAAATATCAATAAAGTAAATAAATTTACTTTAATGATATTTCATAGAATTAAATTCCGCTTTTTCCTAGAATGATATGAAATTTTAAATTAGATAAATTAAAATAAAATACATTTTCACAAACTTTCCTTGCTAATGTTTTTAGATGACAAAATTTAATTACAAAGTGTGTAAAATGATAATTTTGTCCTAAGACGTTGTAAAAACGTTCTGAATATTTCTGAAGCGTACAAGCGTAAATAGATAAAAGACTGAAACAATTCTGAATGCAAACAACAATCTGTAATGCAATATATCAAAAGAATTATGCTTCATAATCTAAGACTGTCGGTATAAATGCAGAAAAATAATTTTAAAAATGAATAAAATTTTAAAGTTATATTTTAAAACGCAGCTGCTGCATTCTATAGACCTATTACTTGTTCTACAGACGTTTTAAGAATATAGAAAAGGAATTAAATGTGTTTGCATCTAACGGTTATTTTAAGTTAAATCCATGATTGATTTCTTGCTTCAGAACTCATACAAATCTATATAACATCCTAAAGTAACAGAATTATTCCTAGCGAATTTTCAAAAAAAAAAAAAAGATTTTATAGATAAGTATAGATATTATTATCAAAACAGATATCTAACTAAAATAAAACTAAACTACTTGAAAAAAGTTGATAAGAGGAGAAAAAGTGCATCTCAGAAGGAGAAAATTTTAATCTGTGACAAATTACGTTTTAATCAAACAATGAACTTTATTATTTTAATGCAATTTCCTATTACTGTGATATAACTTATCTGTAATCTTTTACTCTATTAGTATGAATGATGGTGCTATTAAAGGATACCTTTATTATTTCATTATTAACTTAATTATAAGTATAAATGATAGTGCAATGAAGCATAATTTTATTAGTAGTAAAGAGATATATCTAGGAATTAAATTTTCAAACACTCTTTTCGTATTTACTACTTAGATAAAAATTGCCGTTTTTTGAAAATTAAATACATTTTGAATAAAAATTTTAATCTTTGTGCTAAAAACATTTTAGTTTCATTATATCATTTATTGCTCACAAGCTAAATGAGAAATTAAATTTTGAATAATTTAAAACAAAGTCCACATAAAATGTATGTCTAATTTAAAGCAGTTTTTGTTTAGCGAAAATTATCGCAAAGTATAATCACTGATTTAAAATATTATCTCAGATACATGTTACCTCAGATCTAAACTCAGTCCGCATAAGAATTCTTTGTTGTCATACGAATGCATCCATCCATAATTAAATGTTTTATGATGTTTTATCGAAGACAATTCAAATTGCTTATTGATTCTAAACAAAAGCAACTTTCTCATTGTATTATGACGTATGTCAATTGATTATTTCATAGTTTATTTGTTAATTAACTTAAGCACATACCACTATTATATCTATTATAATAGCTATTTTATTAATTTTAATAGTTTATTAGCCCAAAGGGTTAATTTGCCCAGAAGGGCTATTGATTCCCTTTTGGCATTTTGCGTTGGCTCACTATAAACGGAGTTTCACTTTTGAGATTGTTGCCACCAAATATTTAGAGCCCTGCATTATATTTAAAAAAATTTAAATAATCAAGAATTTGCATTAATGTATATTTCTCGCACTATGAAAAAACGACGGTACCTAGAGACCTCAAATTCTGAATAACGTAATCCTCCACTCAAATATGGGCATCTGGAAGCCCAAATCTGAAATTTGTTTTATTATCTATTTCATACTTTGTAAACATTTAATGAATTTTTGATTAACAAACTCAACGATTTCAAAGCTAGCAACTGCAACACTGTGTTGAAGAAAAAGATATTTTTATCTCCAGTGCGCGAGACTGTGTATCGAAAATTCTAAGGATATGCTTTTTTTAAATTATTTTGCGATATTTCTGTTGAATTGAATTTTATGTTTTAAGTGTTAAGAATATGCTATTTAATAAGCAATGGTAACACACAAAAAGTTTAAAAAACGCCCTTTAGGCCTAATATCAAATCTGAAAGTTTCAGATTTTTGTAAATTTTTAAATTTGAATCTAAATTTATCTGTGGAAAAATACCTTCCTTTTTTTTTTTTTTTTTTTTTTTTTTTTTTTTTTTTTTTTTTTTTTTTGCTCCAACATCCTTTAAGGAGTCCAACAGTTTATAAGCTATGTAATTTAAAACCTTCTTTTTTATTACTTCAAACCTGTTTGTTCTAAGAATACTTGAGGTGTGTAACTCGCCACATAAAATGGTTGATCTACTAACAGGTTTATATTTGCTGAAAGCACATTCATGCATAAGTATTATGTAAATACGATGGAATTTGATGAAAATAAAATTCTTACAATCTTCATTATTGTGACTGATATATAATATGAGTATATGAATATAGAATGCTTCTCTCTTGTCATGCAAAGAAATATCAAACTTTCACTAACGCCTATTTTGCATTACATAAGCATAGCGAGAATACACAGGGTCGTGAAGAATTGCTTCGTCCTTTTTCCTCATCCTTCATTCCTATACTATGCATATCAAAAGGTAACAAAAGTACTACATGTCAAGCATGAATTCAAAGATTTTTTGAGGCACTTTCTCCCCATAGCGAAAAAGATAAAAACGTAGAAACACGCGGATACACGGTGTTCTGCATACGAAAGAAATCTGACGTGAAACAAGGATTCTTTTACGGACATATCGAAAGTATCCAAAGATCTCAAACTCAGGCAATGACATTGGAAAAGGACTTCTAGTTTCGCAAGAATAACAAACAAAGCGATACGAACAATGTGCTTTGGAAATTGAGTTTATGGCACTGAAGGTATTATAACAATAACTTGTGTCAGTTACGGATCTGGAAGATCACTGTTTTTGATTTGGATGGAAAAGCAATGGTCCTGGACCAGTTCTAGAAAATACATTTTTGTAAGGAATTTTTACGTATTATAATTAGCAAATAGTTGTTTTTTAAACTAAACATAACATTCGAGTTTCAATTTTCGCTTCTTATTAATTAGAACCAATCATGATAATGACTTTGCAGCTTCAAACGTAAAAATGCTCATCTTTCTGAATTTATAATAACTCTTTACGGAGTTTTAGAAAATTCTTTCCAGAAACTATTGTACTTTTTCTTGATAACAACAAGTTAAATCTGAAATCTATAATTTCTATCTCGTGAATAGAATTACTGCACAGATAAATTAGCGCTGTCTTTAAGATTCCCATACATTTTATCACTTATATATATATACACTGAAATATGGTTTATTATTGTGTTGTAGTTGTTACTTATGTTCACTTGTCCGGCAGTAACTTCAGACCAAACCCACGAAATTCCTCATGGCAAGGATTGCAAGATTGCGCCTGCCGTTGGCAACAGACTTGAGCACCATACAGGCTATAATGTCATTTAGCTCCTTTCCTCCCCAATTTTGATGGAGTCACCTGGGGAGCGAACAGGTCCAAGAATCTCCCCTCCACCGTCTTCTCTTTTACCATTTACAAACATCCGTGCCTTCTCCAGGATTCGAACCCGGGTCCTTGGCCACGGCATTCAGTGACGCTAACCACTATACCGGTTGGGCGGTGGTTTACTATTGTTGTAGATAGATGGAATTGATGATTCACATATCCGGTTTCAGAGCATAAGAATTTTAGTAAGACATTTTCAGGATATCATGATCAGTTCTTAACTCTAAAATTATTGTATAGACCAATAACTGAATGACTATTACAGACCGCTACGGATTACCCGGGGTAATCTCAAAGGCCATATTCTATAATAAGAAAGGCGTGAGTTTTGTTTCGTAAAATTTTCATTTATATTTATGCATTTTGAATAAAAAAAACTTTTAATAGCACTCTTTCATTATTTTTTAAGAATAACATTTGTACTTTTGAGGAATGAACGTCTTTTAAAAAATAGCCTTATCAAGAATTCTCTTTCGTACTTTGCCAAAACAGCATTTGTCATTCTACAGAATGCCTATGACGTCTCATACTTTGCCTGTAACATATACAATCCTCTTGCAGGAATATCTTTGCGATCATATTTCAAAACACATTTTACATGCAGTATGAAATCTCAAAATGTAAATTTAAGGAAAAAAATAATATAAAATGTAATATTGAATATTTCCGTGTATACTCACAGAATAGGCACTGGCTTCTTGATGACTAAAGGTTTCACCCTGATCACTTCAACTTTGACCGGTACGTGTTTGGGCACTGGAATGGGCACAGATTTGTGAACAGGGACGATGTAAGGCTTGGGGATCTTCACGTGGATGGGTACGTGATAAGGCTTGGGTACTGGCACGTGCTTTGGAATATGTACTACGTAAGGCTTGGGAACCTTGACCACCTTTGGGATAGGATAGGGTTTGGGTACTGGCACAGATTTGTGAATGTGGATTACTTTCGGTACATGGACCACCTTATGGATGTGCTTCACCACTGGCACGATCTTTGGAACAGGGACCGGTTTCGCGATGGGCAGCGGCTTAAGTACCGGCACGTGCTTTGGCACTGGAACGTGTTTAGGCCACGGTACATAATGTGGAATGGTGATAAGCTTCGGATGTTCTTTAATAATCACTTTGATTGGCCTGTAATCCCAGCCATGTCCGTCGGCTCTTGCGAGAGACAGTAGGGATCCAAGAAAGACAAGCGAACACAATAATAGAGGACGCATTTTGTTTGTGTCCTGAAAAGATAAGATGATACATTTCAGTATAATTCGTGTTATGAAAATATAGATATATTTCTCAGTTGCTATAAAAAACTATATGAAACAAAGCATTTAAAACCTAGTCAATATGCGATTAAAATTGTTCTGTTTAATACCAGTATCCGTTATAGAAGACCCTACCAGAAGCCCAGTTATTGAAATCAATGGAAAAAACTGTCTCCAATGATATTTTTTCTGGCTTTCATATTACATAGCATAAATATAAGACATATTTTTAAACAAGCTCAGGCATGAAGTCGTTCTAGTCTTAAAGTTTATTTCGCATTTATTATATCAAAAGACATATATTTCTATCAAGTTTCATTAATATAACTAATAAATTCAGAAGGCATTAAATTTCTCAATTTTGCGCAGATGTTTGAAGAAATTTCAATGTTAAGGACTAATATCAATTTTATTTTGAAACTTTTAAAATGCTTCTATTAGATTAAAATATCATAAATAATTGCAGTTTTCCAGCTGGTAAATAAGATGCCATGTGATGGATATAAATAGAAAAGTATATTCAGCCAGTTCCACTGAGACTTTAAAATTAGGTAAAATTTAGACTGGCATGAATTTAAAAACTGTCGTGCATTTTGGTGGCAAGGGACATCTGAAGACAAAGAAAATCATTAAAAAGAAGACGTGTAAGACCTGTTTATGAGCATTAACCTGAGTTTGAAATTTTCTGAATTATAAAACTAAATACCTGCATTTTCTAAAATCCACAGCTTCTGAAACTAAACTGAAAATTTCAAATAATATTTCAGAGAATATAATATCTAATAATGAATATCTAGAATAAATGCAAATTCGTGTTCTTCGGTGCTAATATTGTAGGGTATTTAGGTTATTTTTAAAGCAAAAACATGAAAAATATGCGATGCCCTAGCCGGGACTCGATCCTGGATCTCTCTGCTGCTTGCTAGGCGTTCAAACCGACTTACATACTCCTCCTTTTAAAAGGCGACTAGGGATTAGAGGACCAAAACGCGAAATCCTGGTGGTGACAAAATATTGTCCACCACTTTTTAATTCAAGTGCCACTTTAGAGTCATTAGGTTTTTTTGAAGCAGGGGAGGTAAAATGTATGCAGTACCCTCACCGGTATTCGAAGTTGGATCTTTCGAATACGCGCCGAGTGTGCTACCGTTACACCACTAAGGCACCCTTGAAAGAGGGCGAAAATACCTTAGAATGTAATAAAACATTTCTCATACTATAATAGCGATAAAAATTATCAAATAAAATTGCGTAACTTGATTAACTAAAATCGTACTAGTAATAATCATCAATGATTAATTGTCAATCAAGAATTATTAAAAATTATTACACGGCAGATCGTAGAAATTATCAAAAATTCAATCCTAAAATCCTGTAATTCTCTTGCGGGAGCGGTAAACTCGCTGAACACTGGTAGTTCGGTCCGGGGTTCAAATCCTGGAAAATCTGGCTGGCTGCTTGGGCGGTTTCGTGGTTTTCCTCATGCGTAACCTGTATACGAGCCAGTTTCTCTTAGAACGTCCTCCACGAAGGCATCCTTCCCCTTATTCAGATAGCCCTCGTGCCATGTTTTGTCATTTTCAAATAAACCAAACGAAACTTTCGCTTGCCGGATGTACATTATAGTTTTCTTTTAAAACTCTCCATGTTAAATAACATTAATATGAAAACTAGTTTCCAAACAACTGATTTAGGGGTTTCAAGCAGATATAAACAATAAATATTAGCGTGTTTAGTCGAAATTTTTCTATTACTATTCCAAATCAAAATTTTAGAAAGCTGCTTTTATTTCAAGAAGTTTAATGAATTAAAGATTTCTACGTTAGATAAATTTAGATTCATATTTTATCTTTAAAATAATACAGTATTAATGTTTATAAACTAATATGTGTGAACTTTAATTTCGCAAGCTAACTAGAAAGTCTATATAAATGTAGTGTAAATTATTCGTGTCATGCAACAACAATTAATACAAATATATTAAAATTTATGTTATATTACTACTGCCTATTTAATCAACGGATTAAAAGGAAAGTGTATGTTCTGAGGAAACCTTTAACTCTCACAAAGACACGTGCTTAAAGTCTTAATTTTGTTGCTAAACACTGTTCGTGAAATATTTATTTCCGAAATTGCAAGATTTGCTTCGTCTTTTAATGCTTATTTGAAAATATCGTTAGGATACATACGACTCAGGAGAATAAGAGAAGATTCTTTTCTCTTTTTCGACTTTGTGTCTTACTCATCACGAAATATTTCCTCATGCTGCTTCTAAACTATCTATTCTGCGACGTAACCTCAAACATTAATGAGCTACATAGAGCTCATTTTCTGCTGTAACACAAAACGTTTTCTTGTTATAACAGTTTCCTGCAAGATAACATTCAGCCGCAACACACTTACGAACTGCACTATAATCCTTTCTTTTACGATTTCTGTTATGCAGCCGACAAAGTCAAAAAAAGAGCTTGAAATGTTTAGAAGAAATATAAACCTCGCTCGCGGTAGCTTTTATCTCAAGTCACATGCAGTCAAGCATCTGGTTCTAAGCCGAAAAGTTGAAATACCTTGCCGGTATATAGATAACGACTTACTCGTTTTTACGCGCCATCGAGCAAACAATAGTTGACCTCTTTTTCATTCGTCATCTTCACTCTATCACTGTTTTAGAGAAGGAAATTTTAGATCTTTCCTCTTTTTAGAAAGTTGGATGTCGATGTTCTTGTGAATGACAGTTATTTATTTTGGAATGATTGGTAAAATGGTAGTAATGTTATACTTTATGAAAAATTTCCATTCGCTTTCGTTTGCGATTGAGAACAAACACACCGTAAAAAGTGAAAGCAAATTACGTTACATGTGAAATCAATTGAAATTACATATTAAAAACATAAAGTGCATGAAAATTTGTGCTGCAGCCAACTCTGCGTTAACTGAGGGTGAACCAATAGGACCTTGTCTAAAAAAATTTTAAGTGCTTTTGTTGCAGAACTGTGGAAAAGCTGCTGTCGCCAGCCACCAGAACGATGCAAAATATGTGCGGCAAATACAAAAAGAGAAGGAAAATGCTCAGAATAGCAGCTCTGATAGACATCATGTCATAAAATTAAGAACTGATTATATCCACAACAATCCGTAATTTAATTGAAAATAATCTGATATATATAACTATCGTTAATTCATCCATTAAAAATTAAACTTTAAGTGGTAAAAATTAACTAAGTGTAAACCAATAAATTCTCTTTTTCATTGATTCCTATTGAATTTCCAGAGCATTAAAAACGAAACATTATTCTTTCTGTTCTGAAATAAGCTCGTCTTTTTTTAATACTGATTTTAATTTATCTTGTTTTGAATACTGGTTTAATTTATCTTGTTTTGAATACTTGGTTTAATTTATCTTGTTTTGAATATTGGTTTTTAATTTATCTTGATTTGAATACTGATTTTAATTTATCTTGTTTTAAATACTTATTTTAATTTATGTTGTTTTAAATACTGGTTTTAATTTATCTTGTTTTGAATGCTGATGAAATAAGCCTCTTCTCCAGATCAAATTGTTTCAAAATGCCAATGATAAATTTTAATAGTATATTTTTATTAATTATATTGTGAGTTATGCTTCTTTCCGATGTTTTCTTCTTACATTTCTGTTGTCGTATTAACTGAGATTTTAGTTTAAAATGTGACTTTATGTTAAAATTTTAGGTGAACGTTTATCGTCCCCGATATCACCCGGGTTAATCGGGATTCTATTTTATGTTTTTTATTTTCTAGAAATACTAAATTAGCGTATATAGACAAACGCCTTCAAGACAGTATTGTTTTTAAAAGTATGTTCTGCGCTGACTTCAAAATTTTTATGTAATCTTTGTATAATTAATTACAGTTTATAAACTGCATATATATATATATATATATATATATATATATATAATATATAAAAATTAAATTTCACTTAATTTTAAAATAACATTTTTATCCGTTAGATTGATTTTCTTAATTACATACAAGGAAAATTCCTTCAAATCAGCGAAAAGCCATTTAGTTAGAAAAAGGAAACATTTGCATCCTGTGCAAGTATTTTTTCTTCTTTTTTTTCTGAATCACGGGTATTATTTGAAATTGAAAACATTTCATAATTTTAATTCATTTCATTATTAAGCATTTTAACGAAAGTACTATTTAACAAGAACAGTTTAATCCCAGTTATACCGAATTAGATTACTTGCTTTCTAGAGCAAAGCACACTGAAGGGCTATCTAATCTAAAGGATAAATTACTTCGTGGAGGACTTTCTAAAGAGAACTAACATATGTTCACGTCACACTTAAGGACAACCACAAAACTTGAATAAAACCAGCCCATTCTTCATGATTAGAATATGGTGTGAAATCTCAGTGTTCAGGTGTCTTAAGAACACTACCAGAGGTCTCCATGAAAGAGGTAAGGCCTATAAAGAATTCCATCCACATTCTTATTAATAACTATATCCTCTTTTCGGCTGATTTTCCCTCCTCCCCCCCCCATGATCATTTCTTTCTTTCTTCTAAATTAAGCTATGTTTTGCATATTTGGAACCAAATAACGTGTCTGATGTGTAAATAAAGTTTTACTGTTATAAAACAAATTAATTTAACAAAAATTTTATTTTAAATGGTCACAAGTTTCTTAGGATTTTAATTATGTTCGATCTTGAGATTGTGCTTCATGATTACGAATCTTAATTCTCAAAGCGAAACAATTTTTTTTTTAAATTCTTTCTTTAGAGAGATTTAAAACAGATATAAATGAATTTTTCCCGCCTTCTTAGCATGCCTTCGTAGTGTAGTCTTCAGCACGCTCGGCGCGTATTCGAGAGGCCCGTAGTTAGTGTCCCGGGAAAGGTGTTACTCATTTTTCATCTCTCCTGCTTCGAAATTACCTAATGTTTCTAATACAGAGATAGAGGTATTTTCTCTCTCCTTTCA